TTACTCATCATCTGTTGGAAAATTGCTTTGGACAGAAGCGGGATCTCGAAACAATTTTTAATCCTCTGACTACTGTTGGCACATATGCGTATCACCAGTAGTCAAAAAGGACTACCTCAGTTTGAAAAACTTCTCAGACAGGGTCGTCCCTTTGGAGGCCAGCTTGTGTGCGAATAAGAATTTTATGATTCTCACTCTGGGGAAAATTCCTCCCATGTTAAAAGAAGCGATTATGATGAGGAAGGGCCGCATCGGGGGAGTATATGCAACCGAAAGCGTTACGCCCACTAGTTCAGTTGATCTTGGGAGAGCTGTTTGCTGTTGGCTTTTCATTTTGGAAGATTTCCCTTTTAGCGGCTGTATCTTCCAACTTGCCCATGTAATGCCTTATCAATCAAACACTATGCTTGTTGGCATGATGGCGGCTATCGGGGTTAACACGTCCGAACAACGTCTTTACCGTCGCTCATCCATGGTCGAAAATGAAAGGGCAATCAAAGGGGTACTATTTTGCTTATTTTTGACGGATTTCTTTGCTTTTTTCGCCATTGGCGTACTATTGAGACCCCCAGTCCCCTCTGAACTTCTCCAGAATCTATCGTTATCGCTCAAAGAGCGTCACCCTGAAGAGGTTGTCGAAGCATGTCCTGATGGAGGGCGTTCACTGGTTCCACATGTGTCTCCCAAAAAATAATCTCGAAAATCCTCAATGTTTTTTTAATATATTGAAAAAATGTGCAATTCTCAATGATATCCAAACTGATAATACGCATTCCAAATTTTTCGCTATGGCGGGGATGATGAAGACAGGAGAGCTTACTACGGCGTGTATGGTCCGTGGAGCAAACCCCGTACACGTCAACGAAACTTTTATAGATGAATGGTCGTTACTAGAAGTAGCTGTAACCATACAAAATGGACTAGGGGTTGAAATCAGTGGGTACGCTGCTAATTGGGAGGTCCGATCACAACACTGGGCCGCTGGGATATACCATCATGTCAAAGTTAGCCTGTGGCAGAACACACATGCTGATCTTGGGAAAATCGTGTCAAACTAAACGAATATGAAATTCTTGGGCTGTGTTTGTGTCTCGACCTCCACAACATTAACCACACCTTCAGGCAAACAATCCCAAAACGATCAATTCCTTATCTGGTAAAAGAACAACATGAGGCGTGAATTACAGCACAGTCGTAGCACACAGAGTAGGGAAAGACACCTAAAGAATCAAAACCACCTAACAGACATCAAAAACGCACAGTGCTGGATTGCGCCACTTGTTCATGCGCTTGCGAATAACAGATGTCGAATTCATAACCGAGTTTCGCTCGCGCTAGAAAAGGCTTTACTCTATGACGTCGCTTAGTTGAATATCAACCGTGGAAACAAAACGTTCTTGTACACCAGCTGGTCCCAGCAATTTATTGCATAACAACAAATCGCGTTCAAATGAAGCTACGATTTTAAAAGGAAATCGAATGCGTGGCGCATGCTTCAGAAGAATTAATAAACGACGGCAAGGGTTTTAAATCCTCTTTGGAATGCAATGAAGAACGAACATTCCGTTGAGGAGTATGCAAACAAACCGCGACCTTCTACACCAAACCTGGCGAATTGAGTTATTAAGCCGAATCCCATGATATTCATAGCGCGCGTCCCAGCATCAGTGAGGCGTTGGTTCCAAGAAGTGATGTAGAGGGTGGGACGGGAACATATTTGGTGGGGGACGAAAGTGATAACGACTGATAAGATCTGATAAGAGGCGCTAGAACGCAATTTCACGAAATTCATAGCGCGCGTCCCAGCAGCAGTGAGGCGTTGGTTCCAAGAAGTGATGTGAGGGTGGGACGGGAACATATTTGGTGGGGGTCAGAAAGTGATAACGACTGATAAGATCCGATAAGAGGCGCCGAAACGCAATTTCACGAAATTCATAGCGCGCGTCCCAGCAGCAGTGGGGAGTTGGTTCCAAGGAAGTAATGTGCAGGGTGGGACGGGAACATATTTGGTGGGGTCATAAAGTGATAAGGACTGTTAATGGCGATATACGTAACGACATAGAAATAGCTTAAAACCAAATACTAGATAAGAACCAAACTCATTTCTTTCCTTCTTCGTCGCGTATTATCGTCTCGAAATCCATTCGACCGCTACTCTTTAGAAGCTCTTAGAAATGTATGGACTGAGTTTTTCTATCTTAACACCATTAGCATCAAATATCATCCAACCGCTAAACTACCCTGACATTTAACGCATGGTGGTTGTTTACATGCTTCGCACTCTATCGCGCGTATCAAACGGTGAACTTCAGCAAAATGGGGAGATGCTATGGGAAGGTCGGCTGGCGCATTTTCCGATGCAACTTAGGGTTGCATTCTTTAGCGGTGGGATCTAATGTTGCACAGGCCATACATTTTCAACGAAGCCTACTGTGTCACGTGCGCGGTAGCGTGCGGAGCTAAACTGGTTACATATGAACCGTGCTAGCTTCCGGGCTTTCAGAGTCGCCGTGGAGTAGTGGTAGTGCTCTCGCTCTCCAGCCGGGAGGTCGTGCATTCTCTTTCCGTTGGAGTGCAACTTTCGAGAGCACTACCACTACTCCATGGCGACTTTGAATGCCCGGACGGTACCACGTTCATATGTAACGCTTTACTTCCAGCCAACTTTGACTGCTCACAACTTCCTTGGCAGGTTCATTTTGCAGTTTTAGTTTCCATATTTGTAATCAGCGTTTGAAGCTCTATCGATATATCTGGGTCTCAATTCAAAGTTCCATGGGAAGTTGAATGCCTTTCCTGGTTAGACAATCACTACTGCGACTGGCACTTTGCTCGCTTTGATAAAACCAAGTAAAAATTCTTCCGAAAAGAAGCAAAGAAGATATGTAATTTTCGACGTCGAACATACTTTTATTAGTCTCCTCTTTTATGCAGCGTAACGCTCTTTCCACCTGCGGTGGCGACGACTTCAGAAGAGCTGATAATAGGACAACAAACATATCCACACGACGATCATCGGGCAAATTGAGAACCTCCTCAGCCAGCAATTCAGTAACTCGATTTACCTACAAGTCAATCTTTGAAGAATAAAAGCCCACGAAAAAGAGCTTGCCTGTGTTGCCTGTGCCTTACAATTTTAAATTGACTTCAAATAAGAGGAAATAAAGCTTGTGGAAACTCTAGGACAAGCCGCACTCAACTCACCCAAAATCGTCAATGCGTATTGAGTATGTACTTGTGAGAGAAAGTTTCAAACATGTCATGGAACTTTCCAAAGGGACCTGGCTGAATCGATACAGCCAAGGATGCCGATCCTACCTAGCTAACCCGCTCACCTGACTGTCACAGTGTCTGTCACGAAATTCCTTACTTCCTAGGGATCCGCCTGGAGAGACCGGGTCAAGTGTGGGATGGGTGGGCAAGGTCTCACGAAGTACAAAACACACATCAGCTAAGCGGAGCCCCGCCCACAGTGGGCGTGGCGTGCGTCGAAATGAAGTGTACTGACGACCGAAAATTTCAAATTTCCTAGAAGGTGTGATTGAATTGATAAGACAGATCAAACTAGGTACAATTTATGTGCCAGATCAATTCAGGTGGACCCACCTTCCGTGGCGGGACGTTCTCCAAAAAAGCAGTGCTTTATGAAAAATTTCATAACTCGGTTGGGAGAAAGCCTACAGAGCAGAAAACAATTGGTGTAAGGGAGCAATGTCTAAGGTGTTTCCCGCATACATGACGTGGAGCGGAGGCCAGCCCACAATGGGCGGAGCGTGCCCTAAGTGGACAGCGTTCCCTGAAAGTCTTCACAATTCGGTTCCGAGAGTCCAAGAAACCGGAAAAAAACGCAAATAGGGATTACAGAAGGAGGGAAGGTTAAATGTTCATGGTAGGAGTGGCATGCTGAGGTAGTCGGAGTTTGCTACCATGCTGGCAACTCGATTCTGAAAACGCTTGGAGCCGGAAAAATGGGGATACCCCCAGGAGGCCCGTCGCGCGACAAGAAGGCGAGTCAGCGGACGAGTTCCGCGCGTACTGTAGGGATTTCGCGTCAAGTTAAATAGAATGTTCCATTGTACGTCCTACATCGCTCACGCGCTGCGACTCGTCCGCGACTCTGCCTTCTTGCCGCGCGACGGGCCTCCTGGGGGGTACCCGGAAAAATGTGAATAGAGGTTGACGAAGAGAAATGAAGTGGACTGATTTGCCACGATAGTTCATAATTCGGTTCGGAGATAGTCCAGAGACCGTGACAAAAATGGACATTTGATGGCGAATGAGGAAGGCCTGAATCCATCGGCAGGTGGAGCACGCACTATGGTGGGCGGGGTTTGCGACACTTCATCATTTGTTTAGGGACAGTCCAAAGACCGGGAAAAAGCGGGAAGAGGTCGGTGACGAGAAGAACGTCAGCTACTGGTGGGTGGGGCATGCAGCGTGGTGGCGAAGCTAAAATCCAAAGTCGCAATGTGGTCCAGAGATAGCACGGAAACCAAGAAAAAAAGGTATAGAATCTAGCTTGGGAGCAGGTCAAATATTCGTAGTGTATCGGGCTGAATTTGGAAATTTTTGCCGCACCTTTCCGTATAGCTGCAGAACTGTACTGCGCGCGCAACAGCGTGCGTTGCCAATTAAATTTCGAAAACATTAAGAGCAGTGTGGAGCGCGTGGCGCTGCCTGGCTGCAAGTACAAAGACCGAAAGTGCTACGTGGACTCAAGCATGCTGTGAACGGTCAAAATTGGCAGAAAATCAGCGGCAGTATATGTATGAGGCAAGATAATCTATCCAAACTAGAATTTTAAATTTTCGCTGAAAAACTGCCTACACGGGTAAATCGGTGGAATGACCACGAAAATGACATTCATTTGTAACACAAGGCCTATCTGTTGCCAGTTTGGACTAGCAATTTGCTTTTCTTCAGAATTTCTTGTCAACTTCAAATGCTCAGAATTTGCTTGGGCGTTCACATGGCAGTTTGGCCTCCACACTTGTGACCAGTATTTTTGATCCCACTGATCTACAGATGTCTACATATAAAGTTTGATGGGAAGCTGAAAGCCCTCCTCCGCTAGAAGAAGCGATGAGTGGGTGGGGCCTGACTCATGTTGAGCGCAGCCATTGCACCTAGACCAGAGTCAACCCTGCGTTGCGCAGTTCGCAACGGCACGTTGAGAGATCCTCAACGCACGCTGTATGGGCGGAGACGCAGACGGCTCGAGCATGCGAGTGTGAATGTTCGCGCGAGAGAACGTGTCTAATCGGGCGAAACTGCGCAACGTGGAACTGCGCAACGCAGGGTTGACTCTGCCTAGCACGAAGCAATTAACTGGAGACGTAGGGTTTGGACGGGACGCCTCGATAATTTGATCCCGCAAATCGTTGTGCGCCATGTCTATTGTTGAAAAAAAAAGATTCAAAGTCATCCTGTTCGCTCAGAATCGATTTTGAGGGTAAGCAAGCTCAAAAAAGTAAAAACTAGCCTTGTTGGTTATGACATCTCCATCACACCACATACTTCGCTCATTAGTGAGCGCAGCAATGAGAATACAGATAAGCTCCGCATCCTTCGATGTTGCAACTAACTTTGAAATATTGGCTATAAACATCTGAAAAGTGGTATTTGAATCGCACGACTTTCTCGGAGTAATAGTAAAATACTCACATCAGGCTTATAATCAACAATGAGGTTCATATCTATACGGTGTTTTTTCATATCCTTGAGAGCTTCCACGAAATTCCCAGCATCGAGAAGTTGTTTAATAACACGGATGACAAATCTGTAACCAATTTAGTGCCTGTAAAAAATAGCTGAACACAAAAACTGAACTCGGATAACATAGAACGCAAATAACAGTGATACTGCAAATTCAAATGCAGGCCAAGTGCGTGGCGTAAGCGAATCTTGGAATTTCAAGTGCTCTGTATAGATCTCTTATAGATCACGATTAGGAGCAAATGGAATATTTCTCACAGTGGCTAATCACCTCAACAGCTGACAGGTCTTCCAGGTCAAGCCATGCTTTCTCAAAACGGTTTTTCGCATATATTGGACGCACGTATTGAACGCAAAACCATGTTTCATTTTCGCTGAACGGTTATAGCAGTACCAAAAAAGAAGCATAAGGTACTGTTAAGGGTTCGATCCCCGTGGCGACTAAATTTTGCATTTGGGTTGGCGCCTACGGTTTGGTGCCAAATCGCGCTAAATATCAAAATCAGATGTCAATTCATCGTCAGGACCATTTTGAAGCCAACAAGTGGCCGCCAACCTTGATTGCAAAATTTAGTCGCCGCGGGGGATCGAACCATCAAGGTATCATTCACCACTTTTTTGGATACTACTAAAACCGTTCAGCGAAAACGAAACATGGTTTTGTGGTCCATACATGCGTCCCTACAATATGCAAGAAACCGTTTCCAAAAAGCGCGGCTTGCCCTGAAAGACCTCCCTTGTGAGCGCAGTTTATAGAACCAGTAGCACAGAAAGTAAAAATCAGCGTAAAATGATATAAACTGTCACTTACGGTCGAGGATGAATTGTTTCAAGATTTCCTCGAGGCATCTGCATTATCACACCTGTACCCATGCCACATGCAATTAATTGGCTTCCAAGTTCCACAGCGCGTTCTGAACATTTACAATCACTTGGTTAAGTGCGAACTGGAGCCTCATCTAGCTACAACGCTTATTCCCAAAAAAAAGCACAAAAAATTGTTTCAAAAAAATTAAGTCTTGACCATTCAGCAGCAACACCACCTTATTCATTTAATTTTACCTGATTATAGAGTTTTTCCCCTTCACATGCGGATCTCAAGATCTGTATTATCACTTAGTATTGAGCTGTCCCAGATCTACTTCTAAATCTGAATGTCTCTCTCCCGCTTTGCAATTTTCTCAACTCCTCATGGGCTTCACGAAGACGCCTGCCCGGCGTTTCAATTTCGAGGCGCCATCTTTGGAGGTATGCCTATCTATGCGCTCTCATTCTTTGTGCTTCCCAAGAGTCCTATCTCGAGAAAAAGCAACAGTGGTAGCAGTGTTACTACCCTTGCACATTCCCTTCCTTTAAAACAAGCGGTATGTAGGGGTGGAGAGTGTCTAGCAAGGTCTAATAGGCGTCTTTTCTTTCACAGAATGCACACAAGTCAAAGGCAATGGATCTAGAGAACTGGGTAGCGGTTAGGGAGGTAGAGGAAAAGGTACAGATGGTAAGGAGTTGAGTCTAGTCTAAACGAAGTTGAGCACAGCTGATAGTCTCATAGGATTCATTTTCCTTTGTCTTTTTTTTATTATTTGTATCGTCGAGCCACGTTTCCCCTCTTCGTAGATTCCTCACCACTAAATAAATAGTAAGGGACAGCAACAGTGCTCATTTTCCGAGTACACAGTCAACATCTCACCTCTCACCATGACGCACTCGAAAAAAAATCCAGTGATTTCTGGCACTTTTAATACTTCTGACAACTGTTGAGTTGATCTCTCAGAATCGATTGGAGTGGTAATTGGAGATTCCTCCATGATCTGCTGAGTTATTGTAGTTTTTGTTTGTAAATGGCAACTGTTGACATATGTTAGAAATACAGGAATCCGAATGAATATTCATATAAATCAATCCTACGTAATCTACAGGGGGGGGGCACAAAGGAGGGTCAATTGCTCAACGCTGCGCTATCAATCAAAATTTTTCGTAAACGCAACAGGATGGCCCGTTCTGGTTGATTTGAATGTTTTACGGCTGAAATATTCCTAAAGAGGTACCCCCAAAAGCAGAAGCAGGCCCTCCTTCACTGCCCTCACCGTCTTCAGAATATGACGTCATCTGCCGTCGCCGTCAAGCTCAACGAGCTTACCGTAGTCGCTCCGGCCTGAAGCTGCAACATAATTTCTTCAATCGGTTAAGCGGTGAATAGCTTCCCAGAGACACTAGCTGTGACTGTGCAAGACCGCTTTTGACCAGCGTTTCAGGGACGTCGTAATGGTCTATGGTACCTCGACGACCTCGTTGAGCTCGTACCGTGAACCATGTTTTTCCGTGGGAAAATCTTCTGATGTCGTCGGTGTAGAAGGCTGTTATGTAACTTTTGATAGAACTAGACTGTGCTCTTTAATACACAGTTAAGCTCATTTTGCTTCGGTTTTGCAACGTATATTTAAATCCGTTTTGAATTTGGAGTGAAGTGACTTTCTTGTCCCCCCCACCCTGTAATTTGCTGTTTCTCAGTGTCCACCATTCCGCAAATGCGGTCGACTACAAATCCTTCATAGCAAAATTTTACAACGTCCTCTCTTACCCTCCTGCTCGAAGTTTACCTGGCAGAACCAAATAATAGCCCGCTAATTGCAACTATACTGGGTCCGATACAGATACGTGATGCCGCGCCGACTTAAAGGGAGGAATTCCACGATTAGAATATAAGTCGAGAAAATCTGAAAACGAACTGGTGAGGGATGCACGACTCCTGAGGGCGAACTGACGCTAATTCGCATGAAAATTGACATCGCGACCGTAATCAATAGCCACTTCAAAGCTGGCGGTCCGTGCGATCTCCGGCTCTCGTATTCATCTGATTCACCGCCCGGGTCAATACTACGAATAGCTGAGAGAGCGTAGTGTTGAAGAGGGCACAGCGATGAGAGTCGCATCAATGCTCGAATCAACGGGCAAGGAAGGGGTACCATTTCTCGGGTTCTGGGCCGTTTCTCATGGTTCTTCCTTCTTTCGTGTACCACTCACCATCCCTAGGTTAATTTGAAATGGGTTGCTTTTTCATCGTGAATTCGTCCTTTAAAGTGATATTCATTAAAAGAGGCATTGTAAAAAAAAAGTGTCGCGCGGAACAGTGCACTAATAACTGGAAGCGTAATTATTGAAGAAATAGCGACGATTGCTAAAATAAAAATTAACAAAAAAGAATGCCGAGTTACACGCATAACGCGTTGGCCAATTGTAATCTAACCCTTTTCTTTCAATCACTTCTTCCCAAAGATTAGTCCGTATCATTTCAAAAGCTGACCATATAACGTCCTGCATAGCACTTACACAGCTGCTGTCCGTCGCAAGACAATGAGATGTATTTGTGAGTAGAGTGATATATAATCATATTCATTCGAAATCAGACATGAATTCCACTGAACCTTGCCAAAGCATGACCATCCACAAAAAGTTCATGGTCAGAGGACAGTACCAGAATATGTTCCTAAAAATCAAAACTGTAGCGACTGTTTTGAAAAATTCCGACATCTTCTTGCGCTGACAACGCTTATGATGTAGTTACTGCAAGGAAAACTAATGGCCAATTTCACAAAATCTAGTAGATGAAATATTCTCCCTAATATAGAAATTGCGGAGTACCGGGTATATCGCCAACAAAATCGCATCAATGAAGATCCTTTCCCTTTTTTTTTTTACGCGCCCTGGTGAGCTCAGAAAAGTTTCGGTGAGATTTCTAATTTTCAGTTTCAATTCGTCAGGATCCGTGCGCTCTTCCCTTTTCTATGGCTCAAGCCCTCGATTCATCCTTTACTACACCAGAAAGGATCACTCAGAAACTCCCTCATCCCTCCTACATCAACTTGAGGAAACAAAAATAACCACACCAAGTTCCATCGTTTACAAAACGTAGGGCGGAAGTGGTGACGGCCGCGGTGACCAGGGTACCACCCTGTACTTCTGAAACCGAACTTGAGCAGGCCAATCAAACCTTCGACTCCCGAAACCGATTCATTGGCGAAACTCGTTCAGGAAGAGCCCAGTTACATGGTTGCGATACATGAGAGGTACAGCTACGGTGAAACAGTGCGCGTTAATTTACAAACTAAAATATCTCTTGTGGACCTTTATTGCAATAAAAAACTGCGTAGTCTGCTAGCCTCTACCCACTACGCCATGTCGCCCGTCCTCGATCAAATCCATATTCGTAATTCGCAATTTAGATTGGAAGTTTAAAATGCGCGGCGTAATCCAAAGTATTTACACCTAAACAATACATCTCGTCTTATCTCTATCTTCATTCGACTCAAACACGTTTAAGTTATCACAAGAACGCTGAGTTATGGACAGAACACTTCACCCCAGACTGAACTTATGGCTCACCGGGCTATTGCTGCAAGTTACATTAACAGTTGAACCATTTCACCTCAACTTAGCTCTTTGCACTATGGTGTACTGGTATAGGAAAAACCCAGAGAGCGAGAGGTGCAAGTTCGAGTTCGAGTTTCGTCTAGGACGAAGCATTTTATCCATAACTCTCCATTCTTGTTGGTGAGTTGCAGAAAAGAGCAGTAAACAATCATAGCGGACACTTTTTACTTTATTCACTGTCACTGATAAAAATTTTTGAACTGTACATCAGCATATTTCTCCCAAGGTGAAGAAGTGTTACTATTCAAAAAACTTACCCCACTGAATTTCACATAGTAGAGATCTGACGACGTTACGCGGAAAAGTGATCGTATCTCGCCACGTCCTACAAGTTCTCCAAATACTCCTTCTGAAGTCGCAATACACAGGCGGTTTCGAAGACGGTATGCACACCCATCCACAACAATGATTGATGATCGTTATGCTTCTAACAAGATTCTCCATTAAAAATTTTCCTCTCCAGTACCACATAATTAGTTTCGCTCACCTCTTTTTGAGTTACTCGAGTTTTTCTATGCCATAATGCTTGAAAACGTTCTCTACTTCCTCTATTTCAGTGATATATGAATTTTTGTTCTTTTTTTAGTAGCAGATAGCCAAGAATTCACTTTTCAAGGTTCTTGCGAAAAAGGTCGACGGGCCAAGCGGGATCAGCCTTAACGAGGAGGCGTCACATAGTTATTACGCCGCCTTCTCTCCTCCCCCCCCCCTCCCTCCCTTCAATCAAGGTTAACCATCTCTTCAAAAAGTTCACGAGGGTCTGTGGGCTAGCTGCGGAAGAGAGTTCTTGGAAATGAGCTATGCCTTAACGGGAAATCACAAATGGGCCCTTTGTAAAGTGACACAAAGGATAACCCGGGAGGGGAAAGCATGCAACACAAATGCTCACCTTCTCCCACAAACTCGTCACCTTCCTAAGTATCCAAGTGCTGTAATGCTCACTCACCTTAACTATCCCCCCCCCCCCCCTGAGCCTGCATTACCCCCTCCCCCACTGACATTTTAACAGACATAAGCCGAAAATTATCAAGAAACCGCTCTTATCTGCTTACGATTAGTTAGTATGCCATAACCAAACACTTTCGCTCGATAGCAACTATATAACGCTGAAGCAATCTAGATTCTAGAATGCCCTTACAACAAAATTTTGCTTGTAGTTAATGCTCATATGAGCGCTGCAGAAACACCTCCTAAGAAGAATGTTCCGGGAAATTTTTACGAAAAAAACCCAGATCACCTACATGTTTGCAGTTCCTTTCTCTAAGTTGATTTGAATAACTTCGTCGTTCTCGCCATGTCTGACCGCCAGAAGATCCTCACCGTACCAAACCAGATGGGAAATAAACCGAGCTGTTTCCACAGTATTCAGTTTAGCCGAAGTTTTGTATAGAATCCATACATATTTCATTGTGATCGTAAACAAAATAAGAACTGTTCACTATTCCGGACAGCTGGGATTTTTTTTAGATGGAGCAGATTTTTAAGTCCGATAGCCGATTGTCGGTTTTCTTTACGATACAAAATTACTTGCTTAACGTATTAAGTTCTTCACATGCCACTTTATACACACTCTAAACCGAACTGTCACCGGCTTTTTTTTACACCCTGTTCGTGTCCTGAATTTTCCACTAGCGTGCAAGTTTATACTGACTTACTGGATGCTGCAAAATTTATCTAAAATCCGTAAACTGAGAAATACCGTCTTCATACTTCTCCCTCTATTCGTTCTATTCCCCAGTCATCTACACATTTACACTGCCCATATTGTCTTAGTTGATGACTTTTGCTGAAGTGAAGCCCTTTTATAACGGCTCATCCCATTCAATTTTTGGCGCTTAAGGCATACAGTCCGGTAAAGTGCGGGTTGAGGCCCGATATGAACAACATATTAAGGTTCGGTACAACCTTTAAAGGAATCCTTCGCGGAAATCTTGCATTCTTTCTTGACATGAATGTGTCAGTTGTGATCACTGGAAACAGCACACAAAGTTTCACGCATGAAGATTCGGTTTCCGAAGAAAAAACAAACGTACAAAAACTACACCTATGGACACGAAGTAACGGCGGGAGAACAGAAGCGAGCCATGGAAAAATTGTCCTCTCGCCGGCTTTACGTATCGACGTGGCAAATGGAAAAGAATCGGGTTAAAGCGCGCGATTTCGGAGAGAGACAAATCGATCGATAGAATAGGATGGAGTAGAAGTGTAAGATGTGAATGCAATAAAGCAGAAGGCCAGAAAGAGTTTCTAGTGAAGGCACTCCAAGAACCAAGTGGAAGCATCCCCGTCGCCAGCATTTGTGAAAGACGTCCGTGGGCACTTTGAACGCGTAGCAGCCCTTTCGATTTTTCGAATTTTTTACCAAAACAAAAGCAAATTTCTGTTCTTTTCATTCTTATCTGATAATGAGTCTCAAGCAGTGATTTAGCTGAAATAGAATCATGATTTTTCCGTGAAGGATTCATTTAGTGCCGATAGTCCAAAAGGCGCATTATAATGATGAAGGTAATGGTGGCATTACTATGGTCCACTGTAAGCGCTCATGACAGGCCTCATCTGCTAACCTATCGACTGGAGGAGCCGACCAGTAACACGGCTTAATAGTCAGTGTGATTCCACCCATACATCCGACGTTGAATGTGCTTTTAACTACTTCTAGTGGTTCCCTCAATTGAACTAACCCAAACTTCCACCCTGCACTTGTCGAATAATGAAAAACGACTATTCATACCGGTGCATGTGCCCAACGCCCTCACACAACACATTCACAGCTAACGCCTCTGGGAAGCTATTCCACCATTAATCGATTGAAGAAATTATCAGCTTCAGGCTGGAGCGATTACGGTAGCCTCGTTGAGCTCGACGGTGATGACAGATGACGTCATATTCTGAAGACGGTGAGGGCAGTGAAGGAGGCCTGCTTCTGCTTATGGGAGTGCATAAGCATGCATATGGGAGAGCAATATTTTGCCAGAAGTCTTCCACTGACCACCGCAATCTGCGCGAGCTTAAGCTTGCAGATGTACGTCATGAGCGAAGTGCCGCTTTTTTAGTCACCTCTGTATTTATGAATTTACAAAGAGATATACACTGGTGTGCAAAACTTAAGGACGAGACAGATGAAGTATCATAACCTTTTGATAGCTTTGTGGACCGTTTAACGGTTCCTGTTAACTGCTTTCTTTAGTGCCCTGTGGCAGCTCTTTGTATGTGTGGTTAGGTTCCAGAGTCATGTTACGCGCCAGTAACACGTCGTTGGAAAAGCTACGTTCGTCCCTAAGTTTTGCACACCAAGGTAAAAGGATAAAGCATTTGCCGTTGATCAATCCCTTTTTGGGATGCGGCACGCATTCTACTTCCATTTGTACATTCGTAGTGGCGTTTGAATGCGATGTGGCCTATACAATGACTTGCGGGGGCCAGCCGATGTACAAGTCAGTGTTTTTATCCTCCCAGACAAGTCTGGTACCAATTAACCGACCCCGGAGGGATGGAAGGCTTGGTTGGCCCGGGCGACTCACGACCCAGGATTTGATCCCCGGACCGCTCGCGTGGTAAGCGTGCCACTTGCCACTACACCACTTCCGCCCCAAAGTGAATATGGAACAAGAAATGAAAAAAAAAGAAATGGTTCAAAATTCGCTAATGTTCAACTTGAGAATTAACATTCCCTAAGGCATCCTGCATCTGTATATCCTTCAGGTTCACACCTCCCTGGTGGAGTATGTAGGTTAAGCCCTTAGGGTGGAACGTAGTGCGAAGGGACACATCGTTAAGGTATGGAGCGCGAAAGGTCATGTCCTACTGGCAGTCAACCTAATTGTAGGACGTGCAGTTCTGTGACTATCCTTATCCTGACTG